CTTCTGCAGAGAGCCGTGGCCCCTGAGGTTGGAGGAGAGCCCCTCAGCCAGGCACTGCCCTTCTCACACAGCTGCTGGCTTCTGGCCACTGGGTGGCGTTTGCTGCTTCTCGTGGGCTCTGGACGTCGGCCCAGAGGGGCCTGCTCCGGGTGCCCGGCTGCTCGGCCCAGCTCCACGGGCAGGCGCACAGGCAGTCCATCCTCGCGCCCTGGAGGTTGTGACCGTGCAGCCCACACTGTGGGCCCAGCCCTTCCCCGACCGCCTGCCTCCACGCTCAGCACGTGTCACCTTGACGCTGAGCCTCAGTGGGCCAGAGCACTGCTCTTGCACCCTGAAGAAGCCTCGACCTAGGGTCTGTGAACTTGCACGACGGGGTCTTCTTTTCCCTAAATCAAGAGACAGCAGTGTCTAGAGACCTCAGCCTCATTTGCCAGGGAAGTCAGGCCTTGTCCTTGAGCCAAGGATGAACCGAGTCACCCTGCTTCCAGGCACACTGGGGGAAGCTGCAGCTCAGCTTCAGCAGACGTCACTCGCAGCCCATGGCCCAAGCAAAACCCAAGCAGCACATGACCCGAGACCGGCGGCTGCCACCACGGGGCAGTCCCAGCTCCTTTCAGGTCAGAGGGGTCGATGCCACCCACCAACACCCGGGGCCACAGCTGCGGGTCCCCCAGTCCCCACGGGGACCAGTCTCATCAAGTGTTCTCATCCAAATGTGCAACTCCACGTTCCCTAGGACCAGGACACAAGACGCAGCGAGTCCCTGAATGAGCCTGGGAGGGAGCCCCTGTGCCCCAAGGCGTGGGCCTCGGTCTCTGCATCGTCCCTGCCATGACTGTTCTGTGTGAGCTGTCACTGGGAAGGGCCCCTCCTGGGCCAGGTGGCCCTCAGACCTCAGAGCATGGAGAGCTGAAAACTCACGTTAGAGGTTGGTTTATTTCCAGTTTTTCTTCAGAAAAACTTGAGCAAGGTTCTGGCTGTGTTATGCGATTTTTGAATATTTGAAATGAAAACAGGAGTGTCTGGAAGGATCGACACTGTCACGGCTGGACTTCCCTGTCCAGGAGAGGCCAAGTGCCGGTTAGCCGGTACGGTCCACTGATTCACCTGCTCCCACAGACACCTTGCTGGTAACTTTAGGGAACAGTGTGTCTGTGCATTGAGTCCTGTTTGATTCACACTGTGTTTTGAGACTAACATTAATTAAAGCATCAAATCATCTTTAAACTCTGGAGTTGAGTCGTTTGCCTTCAGAGTCGTTTCTCCAGACTTGTTCTCTCATTAGACATTCACGACTTGATGACTTTTATGCTACCCTCCTTGGGGTGCTCATCAAGAGGGTGCAATGCACCCAAGTATGGCTCTCCATTCAACAGAGGAACGAAGCTGGCCACTCATAGCACCTTCTCTCTTGACGATGTCTTTGTGCTTTGAACCACAGAATGCTGATTTTCAAGTTTCCTTGTTGGCTTGCAAATGACTTTCAAGGATTGGATACAGACACGGTGTCCAGGATTCCAGGTGCAGATGGGCCAGCACATGTCCAGAGCAGTGGTGACCCACACTTGGGCTCACGCGAGGTCAGGTGAAAGCCTGGGTGGGGGCCATTTGTGACGTTTTGTTCCAATTCACTTCCTCCCACACCAGACGCTGCTCCCTCGTCTCCCTCAGTGCCTTTGCTAACCCAACCCTCTGAAGACCCGAAGGAGTCCTAAGTCCCTTCTGCTTGCTATGCTTCATGCAGAGAGCAAGCCGCTGGATCTGTACTCATGTGGCCGTTTCACAGCCAAGCTTGCTGACGGTCAGGACTGTCCATTGTGGCCCTGCCGTGACCAGCCTGCAGCCGCGCTCCGGGAGCAGGAGCCTCCACTCCACCTGACTCCTGAGCAGAGACACACGGCCGGCCTGGCAGAGGCACCCCACACCAGTTGTGCCTAGATGTTCCGCTGCTTTAGACATGTAGCTCGTTCCAGTGCCACAAGGGACTCTGCTGGGGGACAGAGCCGTCCACGTTGTAGCCTTTCAGATGGAGTGGCGGCACCCACGTGTGCGTTCAAGGCGTCTCCCGCCTCTCCCTGTCCTCTGCAGACCCTGCTGGCCGCTGAGGCTCCTCCCCACATCCAAGTGCTCCAGGTCTTGGCGCAAGTTATTCAGGAAGTTTCCAAAAACCAACTTGACCCAGACACATCCGGGAGGGCGCGGCTTTCCCACTCCTTTTCCCACCTGCCCTGCTCAGCTGAGGAGGGCTCGCCTGCCTGGCTTCCTCTCAGTGTGGACACTTCTCTTTTTATGGAACTTCCTAGAAACCTGTCCACCCACATCTCCTGCAGGGTTCCTTCCACCCACCGCCGGGCAGGTACCGTCTCCTGGATGACACAGAGCTACCGCGCTGGCCTCAGCGTGCCCAAGAGGAAAGGCACTTGGCAGAGAGCGCCTGTCCTCAGCCGTCACTCTCGGGCGAGTCTCAGGGCTCCTGAGGGACAAGCAAAAGCCCAGCTCTCCACACACAGGCCTGGTCTCCTCCCTCCCAGCTCGGCCTCCATCCTCTGCCGACTCAGGAATGTGCTCAAGACAGTTTTTCTCCTCACAATGGAAAGGCGTGCACCTTCCCTCCCCGTGTGGGTGTGAATGTGGTGACTGAGGGCACCTCGCGGGCATGTGTGTGGTTTTCCATGGAGCTCTGAGCTCCGCAGGACACCCGGGAGTCCTCACCAGTCCACAACAATTCCACGCAGGAGGGGAGCTGGAGTGGTCTTTCCAGTTTCAGGCTCTTTCTGTTTTACTGGAACTCGACCGCACCTGTGGCCAGATGTGTCCTGGAGCCGTGGAGGACAGCTAGGACCAGGCCCACGTTTCAGGAGGCCTGGCGCGGACCTTCCCCTCCTCTGACTCGCCTGGCAGTGTGGGGTCCTTGGCACCCTCCAAGGGAGCCCTGGGTCCTGGTGTCTGCCACACCTTGTGCAGCTCAGTCCTGTGAAGACAGACAGCCACGCTGCGACGCACTGTGCTCCTCAAACTGGCTCGGTCCCCTGCCACCGTCGCTGCTGCGGGTATGTGAGACTTCTCTGAGTCCCTTTTCCTGCTTGAGAGCACCAGGGAGACGGACAGCGGGATCCGCGTGTGGCCGAGAGCACTGCCCACAGTCTTGCGCACTTCCTGTGGATCCGTGGAGCCACTTGGGTGGAGGGAGGCTGCAGACTCCCCTCCCACCCACAACCAGGACAGAGGAGCTTCGCCGAGAAACGGCCCCGGCTGCCAGTACTGGCGCAGGAGGCCCTGTCCATGAGCTGTCCACACTGCCCACCTCTCCTCTGCTCATGTCCTCACAGCTCTGGGCCCTGCTGGACCTATACTCTGCAGCACTGTTCAGAAAAACAAACGTAGGCTGGGTGCAGGGACACACCACTGTGATCCAGCAGTGCTGGAGGCTGAGGCAGGAGGATCACAAGTTCAAGGCCAGCCTCGGCAACTTAGCAAGGCCCTAAACAACTTAGCAAAACCCTGTCTCAAAATAAGAAATAGAAAGGGCCGGGGACGTGGCTCAGGGGCAGAGCACCTGGGTCAAACCCCTAGAACCACAGAGCAAACCAACCAGCTTGATAAAAGGCAGCGTTTAAATGGCCCACCCTACGAGGAAGGTTAAGCGAGCTCACCAAAAGGCCTGATTAGGAGGGCAGGAGTCTCCAGAAGGAGAGTCACAGGAGCCAAGAGCCGCGGAGCACCGTGCTCCGTCCCCTGCTCAGAAGCCCCGTGGCACCCTGAATGACGTGGCCTGCCTATTCCTGGCCTCAGCCCCGGAGGTGTGGCGCAGCAAGGTCCTCGTGGTAGGGCTGGCCTATGACTCCTCTCCAGACGTCACCAGGCGTCCCCTGGGGGAGGAGGACAAGGCCCCGCTGAGCAGCACTGGTTCTCACGGCAGAAGTGTCGGAGCAGAGGACCCCGACTCGCCTGCCGCTCCTCAGGTGCAGGGCTCCCTGCTCAGCCCGGACCTGCAGCGCATCCCGAATGCCACAGAGGTGTGGCTCACTGCATGCATGACGAGCTAGGTGCTGGGCTGCAGCCCAGCCTCCTGACCTCTCTGCTACTCCTGAAACCCCCTCAGGTTCCCGGGAGAGAGACGGATCGAAGCTCGAGAACGGCTGTGGTTAGCACGCATGTCGAGTGCACTCAGGTGTGCCTGTAGCCCTGGGCAGTGTCAGCTTGGCCTCGTCTCCCTGGCACAGAGCGCAGGGAGAACATGGCCACCCTCCCTGGGCACCAACTCGAGTCCAGTCAGAACCCAGTGGTCACCAGTGTGCAGGCCACAGTGGTCTCAGGGGCCCCTTCCCAGGAGCCCTGGCCTTGAGGAGTCCCTTTGGTGGCTGGCCTGAGGATGCAGCCGCGCCCGGCCCTGGAGAGCGGCTGGGAGCCGAGGCCTGAGGCGATTTCCGTCTCCAGGGGCCTGCCAGTCTCTTCCCCGGCAGGCTGTGTAGCCAGCAGCGTGGCTGTGGCATGTGAGACCTTGAGGAGGGAGGAGGCCTGGGGCTGGCCTCCACCCAGGGTCCACCCGGGGCCTGTCAGAGGCCTCACAGCTCGTGCCCAGGAGCGTGCATGTGCGGGGATGTCAGCCGTCTGCTCGCTCTGAGTGCTTTCTCCATGATGAAAGCAGCAGCTGCTCGCGCAGACGTTCTGAGGAAAGACGCGCGGAAGAGAGGACAGGACCAGGACCTCACTGAACCATGGCCACGCCCAACATCCCACCTGTGCCGACCTCTCCTCATGCACTCTGACCTTAGACCCGCCTCTGCTGCTAGACTCGAGGTGTTTTTGCAGTTTTTCTCTTTACAGATACAGGGTGCAGACTCTGCAGCATCGAGGGCTGTGCCCATAAATACGAAAGCCAAATGCTTTGCTTCCTTAGGCCAGGGGTCCTGGCTCGGGTCATGGCTGACGCGTGTGGAAGGTGCACAGCAGATGCCGACGGGCCGTGTGGGCCCTGACCGGGCTTCTTTCTCTTACAGCGGTCTCCTACACAAATTACAAGAAGACACCCCCTCCGGTACCTCCTCGGACCACCTCCAAGCCCCTGATCTCCGTGACAGCCCAGAGCAGCACTGAGTCCACCCAAGACGCCTACCAGGACAGCCGTGCCCAGAGGATGTCCCCATGGCCCCAGGATGGCCCCAGCCTCTACAACTCCACGGACAGTTTGGACAGCAACAAGGCCATGAGTCTAGCCCTAGAAACGGCCGCGGCCCAGCGCCAGGCCGACGGCCAGGGCAGCTCTGTGCGGACCAGCGACAAGGCCATCCTGGTGTCCAAGGCTGAGGAGCTCCTCAAGAGCCGCTGCTCCTCCATCGGGGTCCAGGTAGGCTCCCTGCCAGCCCAGGCGCCTGGCCTAGAACAGGTGAGGGAGCCAGCTGCTGCGCGTCCTCGTGCTCACGCCGCCGCAGCTGGCAGTGGAGACGGAGGGCCCAGCTGCACTCCGGCTGCGAGCCTGCGAGTGGAGGATGGGCGGCCTGGCAGCAGAGCCGGCCCCAGGGAGACCCAGGAGACGGGCTCCACACTGCGCCCTCCCGGGGCCCCAGTGGTGCAATTGCGAGGGTCACTGGACGGGTGGACAGTGTGGAGAGGAGGCCATCGTGGTGCGTAACCAGGGGGTTTCCTGCTTAGGTCCAGTTTTTCAAAAGCTGTTCATCTCCCAAAGGGTGCTGGAAAGAGGTAGCAGGGAGCCTCCCAGGCGCAGTGCTGGGTGCCACGCAGGGCAGGTGCTCTGCCACGCAGGGCAGGGTGCTCCCACAGGCGGCCACTCCTCTGGCTGTGGTCACAGACGCTGCACCCGTGCACCCGCTCATGGGCGACCCACCCTGCATCTGGGCCCCGGGGTCCTACCCAAGATCCCCACCCACCATGTGTGTCCTCTGAGTCCAGCAGGCTGGACTGTTGGCCTGGCCCAGTCAGCAAGTCTAGGTCATCTCTGTGCTGGCACTGGGTTCCAGGAGTTGGGGACATGGACTTCTCACTGTCCTGCTGATATCCCTCAGGGCCCTGTGGACATGGTCAAGCAGGGTGGCTGGCCACGTTCTCTGTGGCCCAGGCCACCTTCTGCTCCTCTGTTCAGCCTGTGTCCCGGGGGCTTTGAGACCAGGAGCGCACGGCCCCGCACCCTTTCCTGGGGAGGAGGTGTGTGGAGCCGGGAGTGAGGGCCCACCCCGCACGGTGCCTGTGTGCGAGGCCTGGTGGGGACAGGCAGAGCGCAGGGGCCACTGGCCCACTGGCCTTGGTCCCCAGCCGGGTCTCCACACTGTGGCTTCGTTGTTTTGTTTAGGATTCTGAATTCCCAGAGCATCATCCATACCCAAGGTCAGATGTAAGTACCAACATCTCCAACGCCCGGCACGCATGACTTCTCTCACCTCCCTCTCTGGGTCTTCATACGACTGCTCTTGTCACTCTGTCCTGGCCCTATGTGCCAGGCTCTCCGCTGGGTGCTCCACATGTATCCTCAAGGACGCGAGCCGGCCCACGTAAAGGGAAGGAGCAGGCGCTCGGCCGAGCCCCGGGCCTGGCGCTGGCCCAGGAGGGTGGAAGCAATGTGTGTTCCCCACCTCTCCAGCTCTGGGCACCTCATCATAGGGACTTGAGGTCCCCAGATCACCAGGGGATGGCCTGCTGCCCTGCGGGCTCTCTCTGGCTCTCACACAGTGTCCTCCAGTGCACCCACCACCCTGGCCAGGGGCTAGTTCCCCTCCTGACATGCAGCTCAACTGCCCCATCAGGAAATGAGGACGTGACCTCACGGGCCCATCAAGTCAGGTGGCCCTGACACCAGCCTGCCTCCTCCTGGGTCAGCTGGGTCCATGCCCACTCTGGCTCAGCAGCTGCTCCGCCTCCCACAGCTCAGCCCCTGCCCGCAGCCTCTCACCACGGCCCTCCCAAACCAGGGTCCACCAAGGCTGGGCCCGTGCTCCTCCTCTTGCCCCCTCCCCGCACCCAGCACAGTGCCTGGCACATAGTGACCTTTCAGTGAATGCTGGACAGGTGAGTGGAGGGGCGTGTGGACGGCGAGTGCTGGACAGGTGTGTGGACGGCAAGTGCTGGACAGCAAGTGCGGAGAGAGGTGTGAATGCAAGGACACGCTGGACGGCCAATCCCACTGTCTGTGGTGGTGAGACAGCAACAGCTGTGAGCTCCTAACCCGGCAACTGCCAACATGAAGTCCATGGAAAGTTAAAGGAACGTGTAGCCAGAGACACGGAGCATCAGGACAGAGAAAATAGCTGAGAGGTAGAGAAGCAGGACCAGGGAGCGCTCAGGGTCAGGGGTGCAGACGTGGAGCGCGGGCACGTTCAGCAGGCTAAGGGTCATCCGCGGAGACTGATGGGCACCAGAGGGACTACAGACAGTGTGGGCACGGCCCAGAGCATCCCCACTCCCTGGCACATGCTCCCCCATCATCACAGTGGCCCTGTGTTCCAGGATGGGGAAACCGAGGGTCAGGAGGGTGAGTGACTAGCCGAGGTGACCCCCCCCCCAGGAAATAGCCACTCTGCTTCCCACAGAGACACGGATTGCACAACGTCCCTGGGCCACTCCCACACCTTGGTCCCAAAGCCACCTGCCCTGCTCTGGAACCCTAAGCCTATAGAGAAGGGGGCTGGCACTCTGTCCTGCACATAGCTGGACTGGCCGCACAATCTGCATCCCTCGGGTGCTATGGTACTGAGTGCTCATGCCCTCAGCCTGGCACCGGCTCTAAAGTGACAGCTTCCCAGGTTCACGGGCATCACATGACACTCAGCAACAGTGACGAATTCAGGACTTCAGCTGTGCCTCTGGGCTCCACCAGCGTGAAGTCCAGCTGGGTCCCACTCAGCCCACCCCCTGTCACCCTGTCCCCCTCCCTGCCCAGCTCAGACCAGACGAGAGCTGAAAGCCCCCATCATTCGGGGAGCCGATGCCATGCACAAGTCCACCCCAGGGACGTGCGAAGGCCGTTAGGCCAGACGCCCCTGGGAAAAGGCAGCTGAGCTCTGCCGCGCACAGATCAGTCCCCGTGAGGAACACTGGGCCATGGTCAGTCCTGGAACCCAGCTCAGGTGGCCCTGCTTTCCTTCCTTGAAGCAGGCCCCTGCTCTGCCTTTGCCCTGCCTTGTTCGTCGTCCAGGTGTGTCTGTGACAAAGGTTTCTGTGTGTGGACGTGAGTGTGAAGCTGTGCCCAGACTTCCAGCTGGTAGAAGCAGACTGGTTTAAGGCACAGGAAACCTGGGGTCACACAAGCCCAAGTGAATCTCTACGTCAGCAAGGCATCACACGCACCCCACAGGCTATGAGAGTCAAGGAGCCACCCTGAAGCCACGTGACCAGCCAGGTTGAGTGTCCCACGAGATGGAGGACCCTGGTCCCCACCACCCTGTCCTCCTGCATCCCATGTTCCCATCCTGCAGCCTGATCAGTAGCTACTTGTGCGGTAGCCCAGGCACCTGGGGCAGAGAGCTGGAAAAGCACGCTAAACGTTGGACTTCACATCAGTCTTCACAGGGGATGGAATGAGCTCATATCAAAGCCACACACCTGCCGGGCAGAGTGGAAGACTTCAAGGGTGGAGCTAGACGGGCTGGTTGGGGAGCGACTCCAGATCTGAGCTCTGGTGAATGGCTCCAGCCGCCACCCAAGTCTGCTCTCCCAGATCCCTGCAGAAAGCTGGGGATCCAACTGAGCTGACCAGCCGTGACTTGGCTGCAAGCCTGGTCCACGTGCAAGAGGTGAGAGGGCAGCTTGTCCCCCATCAAAATCACTCCATGTGTGTGCACACAGGTACACAGCACACACATCCACACACACACAAGTACATGTTCACATACACACATGTGCTCTTACACAGGGATGCAGCCAAGGATAGATGCACACAGGCACATGTATGGATGCACACACATCCACATGGACACATCATGCATGTGCACACATGTTCACATACACATGAGTGCACTTACACAGATACACTCAAGGATAGGTGCACACATGCACATGTAAATATGCACATACATCCACATAGATACACAGTGCATGTGCACACGTGTTCACATACACACATGTGCTCTTACACAGGGATGCAGCCAAGGATAGATGCATGCATGCACATTTATGGATGGACACACACATCCACATGGACACACCATGCATGTGCACACCTGTTGACATACACACTTGTGCACTTACACAGATGCACTCAAGGAGAGGTGCACACGTGCACATGTAAATATGCACATACATCCACGTAGACACACAGTGCATGTGCACACGTGTTCACATACACACATGTGCTCTTACACAGGGATGCAGCCAAGGATAGATGCATGCATGCACATTTACAGATGGACACACACATCCACATGGACACACCATGCATGTGCACACATGTTCACATACACATGTGTGCACTTACACAGATGCACTCAAGGTAGGTGCATACCTGCACATGTACAGATGCACACACACATCCATGTGGACACACAGTGCACGTGCACACCTGTTCACTCACATACATGTGCACTTACACAGATGCAGCTGAGGATAGGTGCACCCATGTACAGATGCACACACACATCCTTGTGGACACACCGTGCATGTACACACCTGTTGACATACACACTTGTGCACTTACATAGATGCACCCAAGGATAGGTGCACACCTGCACATGTACAGATGTACACACACATCCATGTGGACACACAGTGCATGTGCACATGTGTTGGTCTACTCATGTGTCTCATGTATGCGTGAGAGAACTACACATGCACACGCTCATGCAGGGGCTCACGTACACGTGGCAGCCCCACCAAACCCCTCGTTCTTACACAGATGGCGCGTGCCAGCGCCCTCTGCCGCCCCTCCTCGTGGCTGCAGCTCAGCCCAGGGAGAGCTGTGGTGGCCGTCCGGGGACCCCTTGGTGAAGGCGCCTGCCAGGCACTGGGCAGTTGCTTGTTAGCCTGTCTGGCTCCTCCCAGTCAGGGAGCCTTGTCTCCAATGGAGTCCACTGGAAGAGTGGTGTTGCTGATCCAACTTTCCCAAACAGCTCTCCCAGTGGTGGGTCTCGTAGAGTGAAGACCCACGAGTCTTCCAGGACTCGGAACCCACCCACTCGTCCAGCCAGCATTTCCTGGGGAAGACCTGGAGCTCCCTTTGCACCGTGCAGACAGGCATTCTTCCTCTCTGCCCTACCTGTGCTTGCTTTCTACTGCAGGACGACCCCTTCCTCCAGGGGTCTCTGAGGTTGACAGGGGTCCAGCTCCCGCTACACGTGATTTCACCCTGCTCATCCGGCCCTTGACTTCCCAGATCTTCAGGTTCTGAGCTGTCAACTGTGCCTGGCTGTCACTGAGTGTCCGCGTGACTCTCCTGACAGTCCTAAAAGTCAAGGTGAAAGGACAAGGGACACTAGGTGCAGCAAACCTCCCTGACTGAGCTTCGCCCTGTGTTTCACATCTGTCCCATGAGGTGCAGGATATGCCTTGTTTTCAGACAAGAAGCCAAGATGCAAACTCAAGAGCCTTTCCTGCCTCAGCACAGCCAACATCTGCAGACCCTGGCCAGTTCCAAGAGCTGCCTTTCCCTAGCTCACCATAAAGCACGAAATTCAAAGCCCAAAGAAAGGGGGAAGTCACGAGTGTGTGATGTGGTGTCTGTGGATGTGGTGCTGTGTGCCCCCATGTGTCCTGACTGCTGCTCACGGCACCACTAGGCCGCACTGCCCGCACCTGGTGTGAGCGCTCCATGCCATGAGCCACCATACCTTGCTCCTGCCCCAGCCCGTGTTCTCCATACTGCCCCTTATAAATGGCCCCATGGTGAAGACCTCACACTGAGGTCAGAATTCAAGACCAGTTTCCTCAGGCTACAACCCTAGGAGTAGATTCATGTAGGAAAAAACCCTCCACTTTTTTAATGATACAATTATGGCTCTTTTTATTCCAAAATCTCTCTAAAAGTACATATCTGTGCCTTCATTTCACCACATCATTCCTCTGTCAAATTTGGCAATATCTGCTAAAACGGCCAAAGGCGATCTCCTCTGACCCCATAGCCTGGGTCCCTTCCCAGGTCCTCAAGGTTTGCCAGTGTCCCCAGCACGAACGAGTCTTTACAGTAGCATCAATGTGACAAAACACCAGAAATAGCCAAGTGCCTTGCACTGAAGACTAATCAAATAAATCAGGTTACATTTCTCAGGTGCAGTCACGAGCAATTAGAGCTCAGGACCACGCCACGTCCTGACATGGGACTTGAAACAGTGATTCTATCACGATCTTATTGTGCAAAGCCTCAATAATCTCCATGTCCAGAAAGAAAGGACGTAGTGAAGCTCTGACCCACGTAGGACCAGAAGGAGAAGGGCATGTCCTAACAGGAGGGTTGGAATTTTTCTTCTAGAACTTTCTTCCTATAGTAAGCAATTCCTCATAAATTAGGTACAGTTTCTGCATATATTCTGGAAATACGCCAGTAAGAGCAGGAGTCTCCGATGTTCCCTCTGCTCAGGAGAACCAGCAGCTGTGGGTTCAGAGCAGGGTTCCCGGGGCAGAGCCCCAGGAGCACCCCAAGCAAGTCACTCACCTTCCTCTGGGTTCCCCAACCAGCCCAACGGGAGCACCAGGGCCATTGTGTGGACGACTTGCCGCAGTGCTTAGGACCCTGGGCCACACCTGGGGCACAGGCCTACCCCCCCGAAGGTGGAACCCTCCTCGGCCTCCTGCCACAGAGCCTCAGACTGTTCTCACAGGGTCAGCCGAGGACAGTCCGGTGACGGCAGGGTTTCAGAGAGCAGCTCCGCTCTGATGGCGGATGTCAGCTTTGATTGACGCTTTCCACCTTCTCCTCGTAGCAGCGAGCACAGTTGTTTTAAACATGCTTTTCAAAACTTCGTTGTGGACATTTCAGATCGGGGTCAGAAGTCCTCTGGATGCGATTGGGAGTGTCTGTGGGAGGACAGGAAGGTGGGCTGCTCCTCGGTGCCTGGAGGAGCCCTGTGGCTCGGCTAGTCTTGGCTTCACGCACTTCACATACCGAGATCCTGTGGCCGTTTTTTAGAAAATCGTCTGCTAGGATATCCTCAGGTGAAACCTTGACGAGACTGCAGGTCACTGAAGTCCATGCGGGTTGGGGAGTACTTGGGGCAGGGCCACGGTTAGGGCTCTCAGGAGAAGCTTTCTGAGCTGAGTCGCTCTGGCGGTCCTAGCAGGCAGGAATGACATCCGTGTGCAGGAGCTAGTGAGAGCTCGCCTCGTGTTTCTGACAGACGCTTCGGTCTCTGTGTCTCTGTATGTGGATGCAGCCATCAGTATAATCCTATTAAATGCTTACTGTTGTCATTAGCCCTGCCTGGCTCATGCTGTACTGACTGCCTGCAGTGTAGGGGGTGAGAAGCGCGTCCAAGTCTGTAACCATGCAGTCGACAAAGTCTGTTTTCTTCCTAAGCTGAGTGGAGCAATTTTGTTGGCATACATCGAACAGAAGACCCGAGTTCAATAGTTCTGTAAAAGTTGGTGGGACACAGTAGCAACACGATCACACCCATGTGAATGCACTTCCCCTCCAGGGTCTCACTGGGTCTAGTGCATTTCTGCATTAATTAAACCAGTGCACAATTAATTACAGAAAAGAACAGCAAACATTCCCCCTGGCTCAGTACCCATGTTTCAGCTCTAACACGGATGCTCTGTGTTGAATCAGGTGGAAACAGCTACGGATTCGGACACGGAGAGCCGAGGCCTGCGGGAGTACCACTCTGTTGGAGTGCAAGTAGAAGACGAAAAACGGTAACTCAGCCCTTCAGGATAGGGGTGCCCCAAGCACTGCACGTGAGCCTGGCCGCCCGCCCCAGCCCACTGCTTCTGCAGCTCCTCCTGCTCTGGAGACAGGGCCCTGTGGCAGCCCTTTGCCATTTACCTCGCTAAATACTAGTTATCCTGCTCCTGTGTCTTGTCCTCAGGGGCAAGGAATAGGCCACCCACGAGGATAAAGTCCCTTAGAAAGAAAAAAAGGAGCTAAGGGTGCAGCACCTACTTCTCACCTCATCAAACGGAGTGAGAGTGGGCACTGAAGACCCCAGAAGGCTGTGTGGTCTGTCACCCATAAGTTATGCCATTGTGCAACCACTGGCAGTGTTAGCACATGTCCAGAAGAGTGCACACTGTCAGCAGAGAGA